TATATCGCACACATACATCTCAGAATGTCTTTCTTGTACATATAACCGACGCGTCCAAGAGCCTTGTATTTTAAGTGACTGGCATGTGTTTCGCGAGTGAATTCAAGCAGGTTTTTCTGCGAGCAAATTCATACGTGAAAGATAGGCTTGTTATATAGTAAATTGAAGCTGAAGTGGACGTCTGTGTCATTCGTTCCAATCTTTTTTTACAAATGCGTCACATTGCGAGAACGAGCATGAATTGAACTCCTTTCAGAACCCGGAGTATCATTTTTTATAGAAACGACACGCAATTTATCCAACCCTTCCTTTTTATAACAAACGGAAAGCTCACTTCAGTAATTGGCTCACAGACTTGAGTCATATCGAAAAAATATTAAGGACATGAATGAGAGCGACACATTGAATCAGAGCAACGAACTTAATGGAAGCAACTCACTCAATGGGAGCAATAAATTGGGCTGCATTTGTGTGATGCAAAAAGATAACGTCGCTGCCGACACATCTATTTCCGAACAAAACTTGCAAAGACGTTCGTCTGTTCACAAAAGCATGGGTTAAAATCTACCACCAAGTTCCCTAACACGACGTTGTAAATCAATTATATGGTATATTTTTTTCGATGTGATCACGCCTTATGTAGCAAAGTCAACGTTCCTCAGCCCATAGCAGTGCCAGTGATCGATCCTGAAAATAACGCTGGGGACTCATGTTTCGAAAACACCCCGTGGTGTCCGAGCCAAGTGATATTTCCCAAGGGAAACGTCTGGCAACTACCGTGTTATTCGAAGTCGTCTGAACAATGTACCCATCGAAGCAAATTAAGCGTGCAGCGAACAAGGTCACATATTTTCGCGATTTTCACATATTTCTACAGTTTGTTCGGCAAACTGGATGCTGCCCAGACACACGAAAAACAGCTTTCAGCCATCCAAACGACGCTGACACTGTCCCACTCCCCGATGTGCTAAACAGGACATAGAGCAAACGATGTGGGGCCGTGGGACGCATGCCTACCAAGGTGTTGTCCGCAGGGTCTACGAAAAGCACAGTTTGTTCTTTATAGTGCTTTTTGTATGACACACCTGAGCTCTTTGACACACCTGTGATAGCCTAAACACGAACATACGTAAGTGACCGTCCAATAGCTTTGGGAACCTAGTGTCCGTTAAGCTGGATCAAATGGCATAGCTCTGACGGACTTATAGTTCAGGCTTTTGTGCTGGTCGCTACGCACAGCAGGTTTTCGACCAATCTGCTTTGGATGGAAAGGAGACCAGTGGCGAGGTGAAAATGACTAACTGTGAACCTCGACGGGCTTCGAAAAATACAGGCTGCTTCTTGAAGCAACCGTGGTGAACAAAACACGACGCACCTACGTGCCCCGCAACTCGTTTAAATGGCCATACACACCAACCAGAATCAGCACGTTTTTAGGACACATATTTTCGATGAAGAAATAATTGCCTGATATCGCTGGTCTCTCGGGACGGCTGATGACATTGTGTATCCCATCGCTACCACTAAATGATTAGTCAAAAGTTCTTATGTTGCGCGAACGGCCTTAAATGTATATTGAAAGGTATCGGTTGACGGGAATGTTTCACATCTGAAGCTACTGAAGCACCGTCCAGACTTGCGCTCTGGCCTCTCCCCCAACCAATTTTCAAAAGAAGTTTGGTCTAATCCGGGGAAAATTTGGTTGTTGGCGTATTTGGGGGGCAGGCTGCGCCATTTTGCACAGCTCGGCCTCCCCCCCCCCAATTCATTTTGTGAAACTATTTTCCATGATGATTTAGTTGTTGAGGATAATGATACTGGTTTTAATAATGTCGCGAAGAACCCGTTCATTGACTTTATATGCAGATGACGTTTGTTTGTTTTTTTTAGAATTGTGGACTAGTTCCATTACGACGTTTAACAATACCGCACGCCATCATCCAACGAGCTCTCCGAGAAAACACCATCATCCAGCGAGTCCTCCGAGAACTTAGTCTGGCTGTAATAAGCATCCGTGCTACACTTCATGGCATTTTATATTAACTGACGTAGACACAGAATCTCGTGAATGTTGAAGTTAACGGATATGCTGCAGGGGAGGGGAGGGCTTTTTACCGCAGCATGCTGCTTCCATTGATATTGTTTTTCATTTCATTATACCTCTGCTAGGTTGCAGGGCCACGCATGTTCGGCAGATAAAATAAAGATCAAACGCTATTGCGCCGCGAGGTAGCCGTGCGTCACATACAGCGCTTATTGCCGCCAGAGTCGAGTGAAAAGTGGTCCGCTCCCACATGTGACGTTACGCCGGGTGCCGTGGGATCTGGGCAGGGACTTGAGACCAAGGCCGTTTGAGCCGCGCGCCATTCCCCGCCCCCGCCATTCCTACAGATGAGGTTTTGTGACGACTGCGTGAAAACGAGCATCGCTAAAGGCGTGGTAGTTAAGAAGTTTCGGAAAGGGGTTCCTCCATTGCAGTCAACCAACTCATTTCCACAGAGCGTCTAGCTTTATTTGTCTTCATAGAAACGCCCGTGTTTGAGAATAAGTCTACGAAACTGTCAGACAGTATTGAAGTTCTTAAGCTGATACCTGTTCTGAAGATATTTCCAGGACCAATGTTGTGTCGAACGGACTTTTCAAAAAACAACAGTGTTCTTCAACCAATATACAGGCCACCAATATACAGGCCAATCAACATACAGGTTAAAAATTAGTTGGCTGGTCTGAAAAAGTCACAGAAAGGACAGTAAGTTTTGAGTGCATGACAAACCTGTCGGGTGCCAGAGAAGCCATTTCTGCCAAATCACATTCGCACTGAGTCGGGCACTGAAGTTATGGATCAGTAATATACAGCTGTATGAGAAGCCCTCGTCTTTAAAGGAAATATTCCACATTTTAGTATATTGAGGCAAGCATCAGATATCATAAAGTAAGCCCACTTATAACTACTGGTATGCTTCGAAGCACAAAAGGCTTTTCTAGATAACACAATTTCACTGTGCAGTAAATATGTATTGCAATGCGCCATCGTTCGACTGCGTCATGAAATGTTGGTGTGACGTCAGAGTGGCTGCCAAACTGACCGTGCGATATTACCATCGTGGCGGGCGGACTGGCTCACTAGCATTTGACCCTATCTTGGGATGTTCTTACATATTTGTCCGTGATTTTATACCGTGTCCCTGCGTTCCCATGCTCAGTTGTAGCGCTGTTCTTCAGTTATTTGACTCCTGGTCTTACTCCCGTCATAACTTGTACCCCTGTCAAACTTCCTGCATTAAATAGTACAAAACGCGATTGGTGTTAGAAACTTGCGCTGGACGTATTACATTGGTTGAAATCCAATGGCAGTCTGTTCCTGCCAGAAATCGTGCTGAGGTACACCAGACACGAATAACTCGATGATCGTATTTATTTTGGCCTTGAGTACCACGTGGCCAGTGGGATGACGGTATTTGTTTGACGTTAGTATTGCATCATGCAGGCACGAATGAACGTTGGAAAGTATCTGTGGAATAGTCTACACAAGTCCGTGGGCGTCAAGCTTAGAAGCCAGAGGACTGTAAGCCGTAAAAAAGGGCACGATCGTGTACTGCAGTAGATGATTTTCCAAATGGCTACCTCAGTTCAAGGCCCCATACAAATATGGAAAATTCCCTTTAATCTGGGTAAAAAGCTTTATTCATAGAATGAGAAGTCACACGTCGGAGAAGATTATTTCCACATCGGAGAAGATATTCACACCTTTGCAACTGAGCTACAATGTCCCAAGGGACGTACGTTAAATAAAAGCCTTAAAAAGGACCACCCATGCCGCCATCACATTCGACTGCCCCTCAACCGCTAAGCGTTGGTGTAAGATAACTTTGTTGCGCAGCAGAATGGGGAACGCCAGCAATAAAATGAGAAAATTCCACCAAGAGCCACGAAGTTCTATCGTTAGAGTGGACCCATTGGCTTCATTTTGCTTCCATTTTCCCAGGCCAACGCCGACTCCCAAAAGCAAACACTCATCAGAACGGAACGGAAAACCAACTCATACATGTTTTTCGCTTTTCACCCTCGGGCCCCATTGGTCAGCCTGACGAGGGCAAAACGGAAAAACATTCGGTATTGCTAGCCGCTTTAGCTGGCCTCGGGGAGTCATCAGCCCTAGCACCACTTTGTGGCGGCTGACAACTGTTGAGGCTCAAGACAAGGAGGCTGCATAACAGGTGAGCCTGCATAGCAAGTAAATCGTTTGAGTGTGCCGTCGGGACGTATTCAAGGCCCGATTCCGAGAAGGGCTTTGAAAAGACGTATTTTGTTTCCCTCGACGACCACAAGCCAGTGGTAGACCAGTAACACAAAACGGAAAGTATTTCGTAAAAGAACTTCAAAAAGCCCATCACGGAAAGAACTTGTTCTCTCGGTCCAGTTACCGGAGTAACAGCTGGCGTGAACGACCGAAAAGTTCTGCGGTGGAGATCTAACTCTGCCCCCTCCCCCCCCCCCCCCCCCCACCTCCCCCGATGTGCCTCGGCAGTATAGTCAATGGGCCGAAAGATAACACCACGTTCGTTGACAATCTGTATCCAGACCTGAAATTCTAACCCCTGAGCGGTGCCGTGACGAGGCCACTAGCCGGCACCAGTGGACTTGTGGCACCAGCACCAGCTGGCACCGGCTAAACGGTGGTACCAGCACCAGCTGGCACCAGCTGACTGGTGGCACCAGCACCAGCCGGCACCGGCGGACTTGTGGCACCAGCGCCAGCTGGCACCAGCTGACTGGTGGCACCAGCACCAGCCGGCACCGGCGGACTTGTGGCACCAGCGCCAGCTGGCACCAGCTGACTGGTGGCACCAGCACCAGCCAGCACCGGCGGACTTGTGGCACCAGCGCCAGCTGGCACCAGCTGACTGGTGGCACCAGCCCCAGCCGCACCGGCGGACTTGTGGCACCAGCGCCAGCGGACCACGGCCGGACCCCGTCGCCGTCCGCCGCACTCCTCTCACCGTTGTGCATGGGGTCGATGGAGTGGATCATCAGCTGCAGCAGGCCCTGCCGGAACTTGGAGCCGGAGTGGATGATCGGAGTGGACGGTCTCCTGGGCAAGCCCTGCTGGCTGCCCGGCTGCAGCTGCAAGGCGACAAGGGACCAGCGTCAGCACACGCTCTGCTCGCGCCAATGGTTGGCGTCGGGGCCTGATTTCTTCAAACACCCTTCGCGATTCGGTCCACGGAAAGCTCACTTTAAATCAACCTCGTAGAAAGCTGTCACGTCATCTTCTGATTCATGTGGCATCTGGTTTTTAAGAAGCAGTCTCTATTGGCGCCGGATTACGCTTTTATAATGGAGGCTTCACTTTGGGTTACCCAGGAAGCCAGAACACTGCCGTAGTTACATGCATCACGGTGTCATTTTAGGCCACAGCGTTACACCACCGTGAGCCAAAGAAAAATGAAAGAGCTGCATTAGTTCCACTGATGTGCGTTTCCTGGGCTTGAGAGGCTGCCATACAGAACACAACCTCTGCTTCGATCGAATAATGAGCTTTGAAGACGCTTTGGCAGATGTATCTCTTCAACAGGACAACTTCTCAGCGAATACAGCGAGTATCAGTCAAATAATAGCGTCCCTAGGACGGTGGTGTAGGTGCATTAACGAGACCCAGGTCGTGGACAATGCGCAATAACATGCACATGAAGTTCTTGAGCATGGCATATGCTGTGCTGTAATTGTATGTGATTTTGTGGCGCTGAACAAATTGTGATAGGCCAACAGAAATTGTGGAAAATTAGTGCACTGACTGTTGGTGGAAATGTGTCTTCATTTCTCAGCACAAGCATTCATGTTATTTGCAGTGTCAACATATATTTTATACATATATATATATATATATATATATATATATATATATATATATATATATATACCGACGCCATCATGATGTCTGCGATGCATCAGAACATGCAGTTAGTAGCAGTATTTCGGTGGACGAAGAGGAAGTGACACAAGAGGAAGACAAAAGATTCTAAGCGAAGCAACATGATATCTTAAAGTCGCGGCGAAAACATACGATGAAGATAGTTTTACCAGCTTCAGTATCCTAACAAAGATGGGGCAACAGGAGACGTTGAGAGCATCGGAGGGATGTTTGGCAGCGAAACTGACGGCTACCAATCAAGCAAAAGAAAATACCATAGACTCATAAAGACTAAATCCAGTAAGGTTGGAACGACATTGTTAGTTTCCACTATGTAGCTTGTAGAACGCACGTGGTTTGAATCTGCATCGGACGAACTGCAAAAGTGTATCATTCAACTATGAGCGTCCTATTCGAGCCATCAACCCAAGTTCAACTATGCACACCCCAAGAATTTTCCAAAATTCACGTTCAAGCTGGTCAATATCATTTGGGGCTCGCGTCAAAAAGATGCGTGCCACAGAATGCGGCGCACGACATCAGAAGCAAAACAGATGACGGAACAGTGCTTGAGCATAGCTGCAGATCTGCAGCCGTGGGCTGAGTGCCAGACAGCGGTGCGCTGCGATGCTACCGCTTGCAGCTGTGACAATCGAACATTGTTGTATACACGACATGTGCAGAAAATATTGAACTAAGTTCCAACATTGCACCTGCATTACACATGCTGCCGAAAATCGTGTAAGTTTGCAGCAGCACGCTGTAACAATGGCCCATCGACAAAAAAAGCTATCCAATCCTTCCGTAACCAATCCGCTTATAAAAAAACTGGGGCACGGGAGAGCCATGGTCCCTCCGGCTAAGAAGGTTTCAGTGATTGCATCGTGTTGTCTTCCTGACAACGAACCACTGCACAATGACATTCCAAGATCGTGTTGCAAAACTATGAGCTCACCGGCACCCTGAGCGGCAACCAATCGCCTTTATTTCATGCGCCTTCATAGCCGCGATCCCGCCACAAGTTGCCCCTAATTTCTCAGATCATTTCGGCCGGGAAATGGTGCGCTCGGGCTCAGCCCATCGACCGCTCCAACCGTTGACCTTCTCGACCGCCGTCTGAAGCCATAAACAGGTTCAGGGCCGTCAGCGACTAAATAAATCGAAGGCGATCCGTGGTGTTTCGAGCTCTTGCACATCGCGATGTGACAGGATTTTGTAATTCGATTTAACTCTGAACTTTCATTGCTGCAATATACGGAATATGGCCAAAATGACCCTGACGGGAGCATCATCAAAACTCACGACGAGTTAGGAACAAGGTAGTTTCTACGATGCGTCACCAGTATGCGACATTACATCCATCTGTTTTCAATACATAAATGCGCCTTCGATGCGCATGTTACCATATACAGTACAGGCTGGTAGTGGGCGGTGGAAAATGAAGACACCCAACCAGACGACACGGGCGGGAGACAGTCAGCTAATCTCCAAGCAACTCAACGTGACTTGTGGTTCGAGTATTTGCTTATTTTGCAGGAAATCTCGTGAAACTTCCTTCCCCTTCCTCCGTGCGGGCTTCCAGATAAGTTTAGCCTTTGTCTTGGTGATACATCGCGGCAAGTGATCTTAAAACGGCTCTCCCCATCCTGTATGTAGCGAGAAGCGGGTCTTAACATAAATCATAACTTTTACCAGAGAGGTCGCTGGCTGAGGGAATAGGTTAGAATTAGGAGAAAAATTCAGCGTGTGCGACCAGCCGGCACGGCCACCAGTCATCAAGAAGCCGTTAGTCTTGAAAACACAGATCGCATGTACACGCGGCCTCCAGCAAAAGACCCCCAACCCCTTAATCCGTTATAGCGTCTGGCATTCCGCCAGCGGATGCTGCCTGGGACCTAAAGGTGCCCCTGGTATCACAGGATGTAATCGTTGAGTTGGAGATCCAAATGGTGAAAGATATCTATGGCTAATCTCTCCCAGGGATCACTGAGTTGACGTTTCAGCGTGGTTGATGACGTCACAGATCACACTGCATGCCTTAAAAGCCGTCAATGCTTTAACAACTTGAGCACGGCTTGGTAGCCGTAATATTTGTCGCGCAGCTTAGTGACCAGAATAGAGCGAAAGATCGTGATCTTGCATTTAAGAACCACGTCATCATAGTGATGAAGTGCAAGGTTAAACATTAGTTCAAATCAGACTGACGTCAGGTCAAGATCGGTTCACTTAATTAGGTCTAAGGCGTCTGCCCTTTCAGTAGGCACGTTGGTATGGACGGCACTGGCGTGAAAATATCAGCAATATGAACGTTTTAATCACGAATGGGTTAGCAAATCACCTCGGTTTAATTCTTGTAAGTTGACCTCACATGACCTCCTCTGTTGATTGGTATCTTATATAGTGTGACTGGCTCTGTCAGGCCGGCTAAACCAGGCAACAAACTGCATGAATGCAATAAAAAATGCGAAAGGAAACCGCGAGCTACTGCATGCGGAGACAAAATCGCCCTATATGCTATCATCGATATCAGAATTTAAACTCAAGTCATAATTCAATGGCTTGGCCTAACGTCGAGGTATATTTACTCTAGAATGCCTCAAATTGATCACTAGTCGGGTACTGAAAATGTGGTGGGACTATATTGTACGGCAATGGTTCCCAAAACTCGGCGTGTTGGTTACATTCCGAGGCGGTAGCCGGCTTATAATTTTGCTGTACAGCTTTCAAGCAATTTGCAAGCAAGCCGTGTGATCTGGCGTCATTTTTCCGGCTTTTTCGAATGTGAACATACAGCCTTCGCCATTCCATTAGCAAGTGGAAAATAAAGTCGCCCCATTGCAAACTATTTCCACAACATGTTAAAATGTGAGAAAGATCTTGGTGCTGCAGTGTCTGAGCGTCTCGAACCCACCACATTTCGACAGGAGAGAGGACAAACATTCGCGGTGGTAAACGTGCGAGCCGATGTGCGCAGCCGGTCACGTTTTGCCGAGCGCAAGCCACGGACTCTCCCGTTTTCGGAAATCTTAAGGCACCAATGTTAGTTTTCGCCAACCAGAGCAATTAAAAAATCCAACAAGCTGCGCGCTTCAGACGAACTCGCCGTCAGCATATCACTGGGCAGCCCCAAACATTGGTGCTGGTACAGGTGTATCACTGATAGAGAGGGAGAGCGGCTGACGCTACTTTTCCGAAGCTGGCTTCGAACACAGAACACTGTGGCCTAACCCAAGAGAAGCCGTGTCGTGAGAACAGCTTAGTCGGACTTCCCGGTATGTGCGTCCGACAGGTTGGCATGGGGTCTTAACAGTGCCAAGCATGATTGGCTTAGCCTTGTTTTCGTGGTGATAATCCTTGATTGGCAGTTACCCGCCTCCTCGATTGCCATCCCGCCATGCCAGCTGTCTCATCGGTAGCTGAATACCAGCTATGGAACATTCGTATTTAGTGTACGAACAAACTAGGTCAGGAACGAAAAACGGGTTGGACTATTGGACGTACGTACTTCTAGCTCTCATATAGCTACCAGCAAATTCATAGCTATTGGAGGTCGCCACATGCTTTTCTGAATCGCCTGAAACTATAAAAGTTGCCAACAGCTTTCTCTTAACAGAAAAAAGGGAAAAGTGTAAGAATTTTTCAAGCTCTTGCATCGGCATGGGTGCCGTTGGAACCAAACATGTGGCGGGGCTGCTCTCCTTGTTACAACGTTTTATGCCGGCAAACCATAGCCCACGAGGGAACCGATAAAGTTGAAGTAATTGACTTCTTCAGGACTAGAAAGCGTCGACAAGTCTTTTCCGGGCTCAGGATTGCTTGCTCGCCCCTGGAAAATATGCGAGAAGTTGATGTTTACTGGTTTTATTCTATCGCATTTTTATTTTTGCTAGGGTTTTTTGCACTACCTTACTTTTTGTAGGGTTTTGTCCTTGTCTATTGACATATCGTTGCCGATCGCTATGAAATACATTTGCAGTTTAAATTGGCATCGTCCAATCAACCAAATAACAACGCAATCAGCTAATACTGTACTTTACGTGTTTGCAGTTGTCTAATCGTCTGCCAGAGCCTGAAACTTTGGCACGGCTTCACTTTGCACGCGTTATCGCTCACATTGACCTAAGAACATTTTTAAGCTGGAACTTTGTGTGCAGGTGTAAATTTTTGCTTCAGTCCTCGTTCTCAAAAACCAGACAGACTGACCCCGGGATCT